TTTGAGGATGAGCATTTTTGTGAGCTTAATGAATTCATAATCAATTGTGGTGGTGCTTTTGAGACACACTTTATGGATTTACCTATGTAAATGTGTGAAGGTGAGCCACCTTCTTTGAAAAATTGATCTAATTTTCTAGAGCACTCATGAATACCCATAGTGTGCGCAGGGCTATCGCGGAAATCACATATTTAAGGTAATACACGTGTGATGGAGGTTTCAATTGGGTTTATGGTAGCTCAAGAGTAATTCACTACTAGGATACAATTGTTGCTTCTCTTCACTATGCATCAATTCAATATTTAAGATATTGGTACTTAAGTGTTATTCCATTTTGCCCAAGTTTTGTTTTGTTTTTGTTTGTTTCGGCATTTGTGGGGGATTGCTAGATAATGGTCAAAGAAGCAACATATTGTGTCTAGATCCAGCATTGAAGCTGAATACAAGAGTCTTGCCCTAGTTGCTCATGAAATGATTTGGGTCGAGTCTCTTCTTTTAGAACTCAGAATTCCTCATCAAACACATAGAGCTCTAGATCTGTTCTTTGTAAGAGATAAAATTCAGGCCAAGACTCTCCTAATAAAATACATCCCTTCTGAATTTCATACAGCAAATGTTCTTACCAAACCCTTGATCACTGCAAGGTTTTTATGTCTAAAGAAGCAACTCAAGGTTATTGATTTGGCATCACTAATCAGCTACCCTCAATTTCAGAGGGTATATTAGAGAATAAAACTTAAAAGTCTTACTCAGTTACCTGTTAAACCTATTAGTTTGTTTTTGTTATAGTTGTTAGCATTTTCTGTTTGCAACTGCTTATTGTAGTTACAGTTTTGAGTTAGTTAGAGGAGGTGGCTTATTGTCCAAGTCACCCCCTTTAGTTTCTTCTTTTGAAAGCCTTCCCTATATAAAGGGTTAAGCTTCATGTAAATCAATCAAAAGATTCAATAATAATACATTTCTCTCATTTCCTTCTTTAAGTTTCAAAGTTTCAATATAGTTTTACACCCCCAATTCTTGAATCATGAGATAAGAACCCTGAAGAATTATCAGCTTTACCAATTTCCTCAAATATGTCTCTTTAAACATTACTCTAATCATTGGAAAAGTGTGTGGCACTAGAATGGAAGGTTGACCCTTTCTTGAATGCTGTCCTCACTTGAAGGACTAAAATGGAATAAAAAACTCCAATGCATTTCTCCTTCGAGTCAGAATAAATATGTTTTCGGACTTTTTCTTTAAAATTCAAAGTATATGTTCTTGCATGAATCTCAGCAATTACTTGTTCTGATTCTACATATTGAATTATTGATGACCAAGTTGAAATAAGAAATAAAATAGTGTATGGATGAGCCTATTTGTCTTTGTTACAATGATAAAATGCATTATGGGTATGGAATAGTTTCAACTTTAATTCAAAAGAGAGCCATTGCCATATAATGCAACTGCAACATGCCATTTCCCTAAATTCAAAATGGATTCACATGCAATAAGCTTTCCAAAAATCTGAAACTTAACTGCATATATACTCTTCACTAATTTGATTTTCAACAAAATAATGACATAATTTATTTTCCTTTCCAATTTAAACCAGAGAGAGACATCCTTAGATGTGTCTTCGTTACAGACAAGCTCATAGAATGTAATCTAACTAAGCGATAAAAGTCATTGACAAACTTAATTCTTGCTGTTGTACCTGTTGTAGACTAAAAACAACAAAGAGAATAACAAATTGAAGATTTCGGAATTTCTATAAATTCACAAATTGAAGATTTCAGAATTTCTGTAAGAGTTTTGTGATTAATCCATTGCAGCATACAAGATGAACATGCCAAAAATCTCACATCATCTCCACCAAGTACAATTTTGACTCCAAGTAGGTTCAGAAAGCATATCACAATTTTGTTATTTTGTGACTTTGATTGCTAAACGGTTTTCCTTGTGTATCCTTGAAGACAAATCAGAAACAAGAGCATACATATTGCTTTCGTAGCATGCGGTCATAAACGCTGCTAATGTTACACGATCTACAGGATTGTCTATGTCTAGTAACTTATGAAAGAACAGTGCTGCCATACCTACCTTCTTCTCACTACATAGCTTCCGGATCAGGGTATTAGCTGTCCGAATCCATAGCTTCTTTTCCAGTCGCTCAAGAACAAACATAGCAGAGCAACTGTCATCTATCTTACAATATTCATATGCCAATGTTATTCGAGTAACTTCACACGGGGTAAGTCCCTTTTCTATCATGGAATCATACAATGCATGAGCCTCATCCAATTTTGACTCTTTGCAAAGCCCACTTATAAGAGCACCGTATGTAATACTATCTGGTACACAACCATGGTCACTCATCCTATGAAAAAACTTGAGAGCCAAGCTCAAATTTCCGTCGCGACAGTATCCACCTATTATAGACGTATAGGTTTTCTTTGTAGGGATAAGTCCAAATCTTAAAGCTTCTTCAAAAAGCGTCTCCGTTTCTCTCATTCTTCTTACCCTGCAGAAGGCTGCAATCAATGTGGTGTATGAATGAATGTCAGGCTGAATACCACTCTTGACCATCTTATTGAATAACGCCAATGCTTTCCTAGTATCTGCCTGTTTGCAATGTTCAGATATGAGAATAGTATATGTAATTTTATCAGCTTCCAATCCATTATCGAAACCATTCTTAAGCAAATTGTAAGCCTCTTGAACCCTTCCCTTTTTACAAAGGCCATCAACAATGGCATTGTATGTACAAACATTGGGACCGAAACCTTCTTTAATCATTAGGTTCATCAAATCATATGCTCTTCCAAAATTTCCTGCTTTGCAGTGCCCATCAATGAGAGTTGTGTATGTATTGGTGTTTGGGACTAATCCCTGTTCCTTCATTCGCATCAGTAGCATTTCTGCCCGGTTCAATTTAAATTCTCGGCAATAACCACTTATCATGGCAGTATATGTAAGCACATTTGGCTTATGATTTTCACTTCTAACAAGCTTAAGAAACAGTCTGAATGCTCTCTCGGTCCATCCTTTCTTGCATAGACCATCGATCAATGCTGTATGTGTATACACATTAGGTTTCCAACCTTTACCAACCATCTCCTCCAACATTTCGAATGCTTGCTTGATGCTGCCCCTTTTGCACAAACCTTCAATCACGGATGTGAAATTAATCAAATTCGGCTTCAAACCCATACCACTTACTTTCCGAAAATACCAAAAGGCTCGAGTTGCATAACCGTTTTCACAAAACTTACTGATTATCAAAGTCAACGATGCATTATCTACCACAAATCCCCTCTCAAGCATTGCACTCAACCACTTATCTGCCTCCAAAACATTACCCATCTTACAATATGCAATAACCATCAACCTATAGCTAACAGAATCTGGGTCAACGTCTCTCACACACATTTCCTCAAACAAGTACTCTGCATACTCAACCAAACCCATTTCACTTGTAACCTTAATAACCCAATTGAAAATTTGAGTATTGGGAACCAAACCCTGATTTTGCATTTCAATAACAATCTCAACAGCCTCTTTCACTTTCCCAATCTTAGCAAAATTCTGAACCATGCACTGCATCACTTCATGGGCTCTCTCCATATTTCCATTCTCAATAAGAGAAGTGGCACAAACTATATAAAACCTCATGAAATGTTGAAACTTTGAATACCCAATTGCCCAATTGAAGAAACTCAATGACACCATTGAACCAGCATCAGCTGCAAGTGAAGCAACAATGGTAAGTGCTTGTTCATGTGTTATGGAATCAGGGTCAATAGAAAGGTGAAAACTTTGTGGTGAAAAATCTGTCATGTGGGGTTTTTGATAGTAAGAATCACACACTAATGAACACACCCTTTTGATCATAGACACAGGTGAAGAGGGTTGTGTTGAAGAAGAAGTTGAAGAACAATAGCAGAGTGTTCTGAAGGTGAAAAACACTAAGGTGGGTGCTGATGATGATGATGATGATGAGAGTGAAAGTCTATGAAGAAAACCATGATTTGTTCTGAGAATCAAAAGGGAGAACATGAAAAATGTGTGTTAATGGAAGCAAAGATTGAATTGAATTAAAGTAACAAACATTAGTATTATTTCAAATGTCTTATGGCGGAACCAAATAATCTATACCAATCATCTAAGCTAATCTCTGAAAATTACATTTGTCCCATTTTTACACGAATGTAAGTTGGAATGTAGTTAAGCAGAGTTAAAACAATAATATCATCTCTGAATCTGTTGGGTTTTGGTTAATCTAAACCCGATGAAAACTTGTCCAAAACATATATTCGTATATATATATATATATATATATATATATATATGTATTTTTTTGTGTAATTTTATAATTTTACATCCATTAATTGGATTCGAGATAGAGTATCAACTGTACCAAACCCGAACTCGGAAGTTGAACTCGAGTAAAACTCAAACCCAATCACATCGAGTTTTCTCCATTAAATTTGGATTAGGTTTGAATGAATACTCGCAAGTTCGGTTTTCATTGTTATCCCTAGATGTAATAGGATATGTATTAACATACATAAAGATTTATATAAATTCAGTGTCCACCTGCGTATTATTCTTTATTTAAGATTCAATCATAATTAAATATGAATAATGAATAATGCACTTATAAATACATTTACCAGTAAATAGGTATTTTAAAGGGGGTGATGAAAAAGCATTGGATTAGTATTAATTATTGTAATTAAAATAATTATGTGCCAAATGTACCAAGATATAAACAAAGGTTTCTATGGATAGAAATGCATCATTTGATTCCCTCAACTTCAACAAATGAGAATGTCACTTCATAGCAAAGTGAGACAATATAACAAACATCTTAATTATTTCATATCACCACACATTTAATGCTAAAAAATTAAGAGTATTTGTTATTAATAATTCAACATAATATGAAACATATAATTGATGTACATTTTATGAGATGAAGTATCAAAGTGTTGTTCTTGTTCTTGTCCCCTTTTCCAATCTCCTTCCTTCAATCTTCAATGCTCTAATTCTCTTTTATATCTTCCTCTGAAAAGGGTTCTACTTTTTTCCCTCTCAAATCCCACAAAGTTGGTTTTTTTACTGCGTTTTCTACCTTTGGTTTTCATACAAAATTGTATGAATTACATCTGATTTGTGTTTTCAGTATTGATAGACCCGCATAGCCTTAGCTCATAGGTTTTGAAAGGGAAAAACATGTGATACTACCTTCATATAAATTCTGGGTTTTTATCTGTTTCAATGTATCTGTAGTTATATGCTCTATGTTGTAGTTTCTTGCATTGTTGCTATGAGTAATCAGTAACTTTGATAAGACTAGTATGGGTTTTTGTAATTAAAGCATATGGTTTATTGTGGGGTCTTATTGTGTCAATAGTTTCTTGATTTGGGTATTTGTGGTTGTTGTTGCCTTGGTGAATTAACTTGATTGTTTCAGTGTTTTTGTGAATTTGGGTTTTTGAGTTTGAAGGAATTCGTATTGGTTTTTGAGTCAATCACATCGGGTTTTCCTCATCATTAGTCTTAAACTCTTGATTCAAATATGTCCTACTCTTCATGAAATTATCCCAGGTTCTAATGCTGACCATTACCCTTATTGACACTTCACTTGTTTGTGGTGGCTCCAAGTTATATTCTGAAATTCTAGATGTAGTGTGTTGAATCTAGTTTTGTTATGTTATTGTTGGTGCCAAATATTCTACATAATTATGACAAATATTCCATCTCATCTTGTTACGGAGACTTCTACCAATCTCCTTCGCACATGTCCAAATTACCTAAGGTTTAATTCTATCGTATTTTCTATAATAAGAGTTACTTCAACTTTCTCCTTAATGCATTCACAAGATGTTGTCTTAGAAGATTTTATATTGTTATAGGATTAAGGTCAACATAGAGCCCCTACTTGTTTACATTAATTTTGAACATATCCAATAATTAACGTCATAATCCATATTTTTGTGAATGATATTGTCCTTGTGGAAGACTCGAAAATGAATTAAATGAGAAGTTAGAAATGTTGAAACAAGTTTTAGAAACACATAGATTTCATATAAGTCAAGGTAAAACGAAGTACATGGAATTTAAGCATAGCAAGAGGCGAACAAGCGAACAAATCAAGACTGGGGATCAAATCATATCAGGGTCAATCATATAAGACGATGGAGAAATTGATAAGAATGTGAACCATAGGATTCAAGTATGTTGGATGAAATGGTGGAGTGCTTTAGGTGCCATATTTGATAAAAATGTATATTCAAACTTAACAAGAAGTTTTACCAGGATTATAAGACCTATAATATTATATGAGAGAATATTGAACGATAAAATGCCAACAATAGAATACATTTGAAGTAAGAGAAAAGAGAATGAATACTAGTTTCTACCATTCAAGTGAAATAGTAAAACCAATAGGATCCATCACCATGCCATGCCCAACATCTCCCACTTAGAATCCCATGTATGGGGTTAGAATATTTTTCATTGAGGAGTTTAAATAACAAAAACTAATGCAAAAAAAGTTATATACATATTTATTTTATAGAAGTACATGTTAAAGACTTCACTTTAAATTGTCTAGAATGGCCATACAATCAATTATTGAATTACAAGCTGCCCCCTGCATACATTTGTCCTTCTTTTGTGTTTGGAATTTGAAGCTGGTTTGAGAATTTAGTTCCAACTTGGGATTTTGGCATGGCTTTGGTCCTTAAGATAATGAATGAATCTAGCCACCCTTCTCTTCTCATTTTCTCACCCAAGCATACTGCTTTTATTAGGGGCCGTGGCCGGGCGGATTAGTGCAGAAGACTCCAACCTAACGACGTCCAAGAGGGTTAATGTATGCAGCCTTTATCCAGCGACCATAGAGGTTGCTTCGGGGATTTGAACCCGTGACCCTGTTGGTTACTAAGCAGCATCCGTACCATTGTACATGCTCACCCCTGGCCTTTAATCAACTTAAATTTTTTGAAAGGGCATATGGTTATAAATATGTTCTTGTGACTTTTCCAATTTCCACTTCCATTTGACCTCTCTCTTTCTTCAAAAGATCATTTCAGGTTTCATGTGCTTCACTAACTGCCCTAAGGTTAATTGAATAACCTCTAGATTTGAGTGCAAGTAATCACCAGCCACAAACTCTCTAAAGCTACCATTCACCTCAATTACACTACAAGCAACCTCTTTATATGATCCTCTTTTCTTCATCATTTGCTTAACATCCTCCACATCTGTCCACCTTTGCTCTGTGGCATAGAGATTTCGCAACAACACATAGTTTCCGGCGTTACCCTTCTCCATTTTCTCAGCCTCTTTTAACACTCTCTCAGCCCTTGCAACATCTTTGAAGTACCCACAAGCAAATAGAAAAGAACTCAATATTATCTCATTAGCATTATATGGCATGGTCTGAATCAGGTTCTCAGCCTCTCCCAAGCATCCAGCTCTTCCAAGAAGATCAACCATACAACCGTAATGCTCAATCTGTGGCGTAAGTCCAAATTTCTGCATTGCTTCAAAACATTTTCTTCCTTCCTTTACGAGACCACAATGATTACAAGCAGATAACACGGTTAACATAGTTATCTCGTTTGGTTTAAACCCTTCCTGTATCATTTCTTCAAATACTTCCAATGCTTCCTTTCCATGGCCATTGACTGCATAACCATTCAATAAAGCATTCCATGAAGAGATTTCCTTTTCAGGCATCTCCTCAAAAACAAATCTAGCTTTCCTAATTTCACCACATTTTGCATACATATCAACAAGCGCAGTGCAGACGTTAACAAATCTATCAAGCCTCTTCCTATGGACAAACCTGTGAATCCATCCACCCAAATCCAAAGCACCCAAATCAGCAACAGCAGGAAGAATACTCAACACGGTTATTTCATTCGGTTCAACGGACGCACTCAACTGCATCTTACGAAACAACCTCAACGCCTCGTGTGATCGTTTATTGTGGCAATATCCTCCGATCATAGCATTCCAAGTAAACACATTCTTCTCATTCATAACATCAAACATCAACCTAGCAGAATCAACATCACCGTTCTGGCAATATCCAGAAATCATACTAGTCCAAGAAATCACATTCTTATCCATCATTCTATCGAACAAATCCTTAGCCAACTCCATACACCCCAACTTCACATACCCATCAATCATCGCATTAAAAACAGCAACATCCCTATCAGGCATCATATCAAAAAGTTTCCTGGCCTCACTCATATCCCCACTCCTGGCATACCCAACAATAACCGCAGTCCACGAAACAACACTTCTGTCACGCATTTCATCAAACACTTTCCGTGCACTACCCATTACACCAAACTTCACATACATATCCACCAACGAAGTCCCCACATACAAATCCAAGCAAAACCCATTTTTCACCACAACTCCATGAACCTCTAACCCTTCCCTTTTCGCCAAACAAGAACCACAACCCTTTATCAATGCAGTGAAAGTATACCCTCCGGGAATGAAAGTTTCACTTTTTTCCCTTCTAAGGTCCCTGAAGAGTGTGAAAGGCTCATAGAATTGACGAATGGCGAAGTGGGTGTTGATCATGGAGTTGCAGAGGAACTCATCGCAGTGTTGGTTGTAATGGTCGAAGACACAGCGAGCGTAGTGGACGATTGAAACGGCGTCGTTTGGGAGTGAAAGTGCGAGGGAACCGCATGTAGTGATGAATTTAGCGAGGAGGTTGAGGTTGCTATGGAGAGAGTTTTTGAGCATGAATGCGTGAATTTGGAGAAGGGAGTGAATGGTGTTGTTGTTCTTGCGTTGAAGTAGGTATAGGACTTTTCTTTCTGCTGCACTCCATAGATTGTTGTCTCCCATTGTTCTTCACACCATCAATTTAGAGAGTCCAAATGTTTTTATATTGAAAAATGAAAATGAAATATTCTCAACTATCACTTTGTGACATATGTCACTTTTTTTTAATTTAATATGACTCCGATACGAAATGATACGGTCTAAATGTGATCCGTGGGTTGTAGCTCTATGTGGTGACATTATTGTAATTCAGTGTCAGACAATAGTTACGGCGATTACTACAATCGTAATTTGTGGCCGCATTAGATAAATCAGTCCGGAAACAACATGTCATTGCTAATTTTCTTTACTGTAATTTATGGTTTATTAAACATTGGAACATCAATCACTTTTGATAACCATTTGTCATGAGTAATTGGTAATCAACAATCTAATTATCTGAGGTACTAGTTGATTAAGTCTCAAGCTGAAACTAGAAAGAGTAAATGAGAGCCTTTATATATGAACATGGAAGAATTTCTTATTCTGCAGTTGAGATTCCTAGCAACAATTGAATTAACCAAGTACATTAATAGTCAGAGTATGAATACAAGCATAAAACACAGACCTCTTATGCTAATTTTGTTAATCACATGTAGTTGTTGGGAGATCTTCATTCATGGGCTATAACATTTTTCCATGAGTCAAGCGAAAGAAACATATAAGTGGGTTTGACACCACATCTTGACCCAAATTTTAAGGTCAAGATGGAATACCATCATGTCTATGGAATTTTGTAGTTGTTGCTGGCTTGAAGGGATTCCTAGTTAATTATAGGAGTTACAAATTAATTTTTTCCTTTTCAGATTCTTTTTCTTTACCTATTTATGTACTGCTTAGCATTTTGAATAAGATAGAAGAAGAATCATTTCTTAGGCTAATATATGGTATCTAAACAACAACCTTATGGCTACTCCTTCATGTTAGATGAAAACTGAATACAACCTTATGGCTAATGCAGCACTTTAATCAGAAAATGTTCAGCCTATAAAGAGAAACCTAAATAACAACCCAACCCAAATGGGTTCAACCTTCCAACCTATTGACCTAAACCCTTAATTCAAATAACCCAACACAAATCAAATGGGTTCAATTTCAGAGAGTGGTATTAGTTTGTCCTTCTAGCCATCAAAGGAAAAGGAAAAAATGGGCTACCTTATAAGGACTACTACACCTTCATGTACATAAGATCCTTCCTACAATAACTGGGATGCACAGAACTCCATTGAATCTGTTACTGGTGCACAAAAGCAAAGTTCAGGGCCTTTTTCTAATGAGTAAATGAATATGCTAAAGAATCTGCTCTCTTAATTCAAAGTGGAAACTCCTAGACCTTCAAACTAACATACATAATCACACAAAAAACTGTCATATACACAAGAAAATAAACTGAACAAACTGTGTCATTTACCCATCATCCACTAACAACGCATTGGTCTAGTGATATAAGGACTCACTAGTTCCCCAGAAATACCAAAAAGACAAGAGTTCGATTCATGGGATCAACACTTGTTGGAAGGGGCAGCCACAAACCCCGAAAGGGATTAGTTCCTTACCCAAAAAGGTGGGGATGAATCTACTCATCATCCTCGCAATCAAATAAATGAACAAAATTCAACTATACT